TATATATATATATATATATATATATAGGCCTAAATGTATATACGGTTAAACGAGTTGCAAAATCATCAGAGTGCTCAATTGTAATTAAACCATCGAATTAATACAAAAATAATAGGTTCAACACAGTATCGCATGTTTCATTAGAAAAGTTATATATATCTTTATATAATATAGGCCTTATATATAACCCTATAATACAGGCCTATTTGTTAGTGATCAGACTTATAACGCTATAAAATTATCTCTTTTATGCTATCAAGATCCAGTAATAAAAACTTACCTTTGTGCTATCTTGTATCTATATGACTACTTGTAAGATCGGTAAGATCTTCCTAAATGAAACTTAAAAGAAGAATTTCGTTTTAAATAATGCTTCAATGTAATGTGTAATATCGTTACCATGGTAATGATAGAGGTGATAGTCAATCACCCTTCCATATTTGGTAATGTTATGACCTTTGCACAAGTTATTTAATATTATCTGTCAACAAGCTTTTCGCTACTAAATATTTGAATATAATGAACTCTCAGTGTTGTAAATTTTAATGGAAGTTTTTGTCATTAGAAATTCCCTAAAGTGTATGAGAATAAGGTAAGTCTTATTTGAACAGAAAAAAAAGTGACAGCAAATGATATACAGTATCCCGATCAGAAAGTTGACGTCACTTAATACATCTTGGTTTTTGTGTCTACTGCCCCCAGGGAGCATCTGGTGGAGGAATGATGGGATGGGTCATGAGCAAAAGAAAAAATGAAAAGTAAGTTTACGAAAAATGATGCCATGCTACATAAAACCTGTCCTATTTAAGTTATGAAGTGGATTGCCAACACAGAAAGCTGCTACAAATCCTGTCTAGAAAGTTCAGTAAAAAGTCACAAAAACCTGGTATATACTTGTACAGTTATTTAAGTGAATTACCAACACAGAAAGCATGGATAGGATATGCTTAAAATAGAAAAAACAAACGTCAATCAGTAGACACACGCTCCCGTTTAGTATTCAATTTGACAAATATTTTATTGCTAGCTAGATCATAGGAAGAACGGTTCACAAACGTTAAGGCCTATTTTATGATCCTCAAGATAGTGTTTTTTCATTCATTCATTCATTCATTCATTCATTTATTCATTCATTCTTTATTCAGCCAATGAAATAAAATACAATACAATGAAAGGAAATTTAACAAAAGCTAAGACAATATATAACCTAAGTTGGCTAGGATTAACTATAGTGTGAAAAACACTCTGACTCTCAGGCCTGTTAGTCCGGTCTTTTAACATAGATATATTACATCTCCCTGGATATATACAGACAATGATTAAATCAAACAATAATGTAAGTAAAATCAATTGAAAAGCAAAGCATATAACATAAAGTAATATTAATAAAGTGATATGAAAGGTGACATGAAAATAAACAAATACAAATTAAAGTAAATCAAATTATCAATAATATACATCAAAAGGGATGTATATTATTCAATGCTAAATAATTACCATTACAGAACAATTTGAAAATTAGAGAATGAGATAAAAAAAATATTTTTTCGTGTATAATACGCTAAAATGGATTATTACGAAGAAAAAAATTCCTCGGAGGGCTCAAATATTCTTAAAAAGAGGATAAGTGACAGGATAGGTTACCTCTACTTTAGAGTGAAATTCTATCATCGTGGATAATGCCTTACTGTATTTCAGGACGCAAATCCCTAAACTGGAGGTCATCATCCTTATGTCTCCTTTAGGGGTTGTTCAGCAAAATGTCTAGAAAAAACAAATAAATTTTAACAGTTCTATGACGTCTTTTGCTAGTAAATAGAAAGATTCGTGTTTGTTTGACATAGGGCCTACATAAAATTCCATGAATGATTGTCGTCATTGAATCAAATGTTGTGATACATGGTACAGTAAAATTCCTTTTGAGACACTCGACACTTTTCCGTGAAATCAAATTTTGTTGTTTTAATTACATTTATTTTGATTTCATCATAAATGCATTGTATTTGCATTGCAAATTATTGCTACAATTTAGTTTAATTATTATTGTAAGTCGTTCTTATCTTAGGTCAACTGAAATAAATTTAGGCCTATGAAGAATATATGTCCTCATTGTATGACTACGTGCCAAAACCCATATATCAAGCGGACAATTTTTCTTTTTCGGTTAGTGTCCCCTTCATAGGGTACCCCTAGTTTTGGGGACACCCCTGTTAAGGGGACACTTTATTTGGTCCCGAATGTGTGAGCTTGATAGGTTTTACTGTATTTCGTACATAAAACATATCAAGATAGGTAAAACCGAAGAGGAAGGTGCTTATATTCCTTAATGTCCTTTAAAGAAATTACATTATTTATTAAATGTAGACCTATGGGTTTTGGCTATAAAATACCACCATTAAGTGAATGTGTCAGCGAAAATTTTTGAAATACTGCCCTCGTGTCAGTTTCAGTTTCAGGATTCAATTGGCTCTCACTTTTTCGACAGTGGCACACACTATACAGTGGTGCGTTCAAACTTACTTAATTAAATAACAATATAAGTGAACAAACAGAAATATCAGGGAATTTAACAAAAATTATTTTAAAAAAAAATAACATCGAAAATACAAAATTCAAATCTCAATTAAGATAAATAAAAAGCAAAGGGTGTACACAGTATAAATACATACTGAACATACTGAATTGCAGCAAAATCAAGTTAGTAATTAATTTAAAAGAAAACTGTGTTACAGTATGGAAATAAAGTTAATTCCAAACAAAGAGAATACATTACGATTATTACTGTAAGGCAACTTATTAAGATAAGTAGTATTAATAAACTTTAACATTTAAATCATAATGAAGATTAAGGGAAAAAATCCTAACAAAATACAATACTTGTATATGTGTACTGTATACGTACATAATACATACACGCACACACACACCACCACACCCCCCCACACACACACATATATATATATATATACTATATATATATATATATACTATATATATATATACATATATATAATATACATAGGCCTATATAGGCCTATACATGCAAATAAATATATGCATATACACACACTATATATATGTATATACATACACTGCCACACACAAAATGTTGTGATGTCACCACCACAGAAAATGTAATTCAATTCCTTTAATGTTCTACGTCGTTAGGGGACTACTGTATCCGGTACCGTAAGCGTGTGATGACCTACAATTCACAGCCCTTGTATGTCCAATTTACTTTTAATGACGTAAACAGACAAGTATTTTGTAGGATAGGCCAAAACAGATATTTTACAAACATTATTGTGCAACATATTTTTTTGAAAAGCACTTTACATGTTATAAGGCATATGACACCAAACAGGACAGGATTACGTCAAATGATTGATAACAAATTAAAAAATAAAAATAAGCTTCTGTAATCAATCTCACGTCGATTTTCATTAAAATATCAGAAGTTATTATCGTCATGATTGTTTTCCCCACCTTTGCTTCCTTCGGTAGGAAGTACTCAGCCATAAACTCAAAAGGTTACCGCAGGCCTACATTAATATTTACCATACTGTTATCTAGTTTTTCTGCCGAAGAAACATGATAATTTTGACAACGATAACCATGTGAACTTGAAGTACAATACCCCTGAAATGTATAACTTTTAGGCCTATAACATTTCTATCGTTAAAGATAAAGTAGGCCTACACTCAACTTCCTTGATGTGTGTATTACGGCTTTTT